GAAGATCAGAAATTATTTTCCAGGATCGCGGACCGTTTCGCCACAAAACCTGACAGATACGCTGGGGGTTCAAACAAATCACACTACCTGTGGAAGCAGCAGCATTTTAAAAATACAGAATTATGATCTAGCACCTACGCTTTTTTGTTGTTGTTTTGTTGCCTATTCCTTTGAATAAGATTTAAGACTTTTTTTTTTCCCCCCTCCCCACTAACCAGGGAAAAAAAGGCCAACAAGAGTTTTCTGCCTTCACTAATTACAGAAGAGGAGAGCTGCAGCTGAAGACAGATTTCTACCAAAAAGTGGAAACAGGAGCAGCAGAATTAGCAGCCAAGTATCAGATAGCTCTGAACCATCAAAGCGTGCACATGAGAACAAAATTCCCAAGAGGCTCAATAAGATCTGCATTTTTGTTTCAGGAGCGCCACTCATTTCTTATAAGAGCCGCTGTCTGCTCACATTATCCTGACATGAGACCTTGTGCTGCTTGCCCTAAGCCAAAGTCTGACGGACTCCACTAGATCCTTGTTATATCTTTTCCTCATTATTTGCTCCAGTGTTTCCCCGAAATAAAATTTTAACATGCAGGGAAGAGATAAATTAATTCCCCCCTCTCCTAGAGACAACCTGAGAGAGGCCATTTACCAAGGATGTAAACGACCAAAACTGGGAAAAGGAATAAACATCAATCCATCCATAAATCCGAAACGTAGAAAGCATGGAAAATTAACAACACTCAGAGAAGCTGAGGAGGCAGAGAGAATACTTTCAGCTCTGTCTACAAAACCCAGGTTTATGATTTTCTTAATTTTAATTAAGACATCTGAAAAAAAAAAGTATTTCCCCATGGATGTGAAATTGCCGTTAAATAACGGTGGAGGCAGGAACGCCTCGGTGCTGCCGATGCAGAAGGAATGGGTCAGGGCTCTAAGGCTCGCTGTGAGCTTGGAAGCCCCGAGAACATCCCCCCTGGGGCAGCCCGTTAAAGAAAGCAAACAAACGTGGAACAGGTCCACGTGACAGAGATCGGGCGCAAACTCTGGTCGCCAACAGGACAGGGCAAAACCTGCAGGTAACTCGAAGTGATGGGGTCTTCCTTCCCCAGCTGCTCTGGCTGTTGTTTTGCTTTGCAGCTCCAAAAAGGATCAATACCTACTACACCGTAGCAGAAAACAAGGACACGGGCTTTGGTTTGTAAGCCTAGGTTTGGGGGGGGGTTGGTTTGCTTCTTTTGGTGTCCAAATCGCAACCACGGAAGAAACGCTCATCCCCCAAATTGCACTGCAATAAACCCCAGAGCTATTATAAACCCCTCCTAGAAGTGAGGACAAACTCAGTTTCAGGATGAAGCTTCACATGTTGTTAGTATACGGCTGCTTCCCTAGGACTGATCCTGGCCTTCCCGATGGCTACAGCATTTGGACCATCTCAGAAGTCTGAGAATCCTGCGCAGTTACTTCTCACTTAGGGAGAAATCACAAAACCCAGCAACTTTCGTCTAGAAAATGCATATTAAAAAAAAATTCTAAAAATACATCATCCCTGTGCCATTTAATTAATGGTTACGTGTTAGCGTGTAGAAGCAGAGGGGAAGGAGATTTTGCAGGCAGGAAGGACCTTTTTCAAACCACTCTTTCAGTGCTCAGATCTTGATCCTAAACTGCAGTGGTAACCATCTGTTTAGCTGACGAAGTTATTAAGACAGAGAGCAAGATGCTCACTTGGCCATGAATTTAGGAACATTACCTGTCACACTGAAACTGTGTCAGATCCCAAACTGCGGTCTGGGCATCTTGGCAGATCACATCAGGCACCGAAGTATCTAAGCAACCTAACTGAGTAGGGAAATTCAGTAGCTAGTCCCAACGGATTGCCTTTCCAGTCAATGGAGTGAGAGGAGCTCTTCCAGAGAGTGCTCCGGGAAAATAATTCCACCAACACTGAGATGCAAAGTACTCGTCTTTCTCCATCGACCACGTAAAAGAGGCCAGCTTCATGCATATCTAAGTTTGGTACTTGAAGTTAGGCAGCATAAATATTTTCCTAAGGTGTTACCTCCTAACCTTTCCATCCAACTGCTTCTAAAGGTCTCCAGGCTCTTCCATCTGAAGAACAAGTTGGAAACTTGTAGAAGCAACTGGAAAG